AACTTTCTATTTCAATTTTAGATCATAAACCATACAGATTTTATCTGTTGATAATTAAGATGTTGGAAATTTATCTAAATGATCCCAATTCCATGTAGTTCTCTTAGTGTTCATGCTATTTTTAGCTTCAAGACCCATTAAAGCACCACTTTTCATTAAATGTTGTTTACTAATTCTTAAATGTAGTACTTTTGACCATTCTAAATAATCCAATTGTTTTGCAGAAAACATAGGGAATTGTTTAAAATAGTTATCAACTAATAAATTAGTTGGAATACTTGAAGTAGCAACCATTAAACTAACATGTTCTTTATTATTAATAATTTCATTTTCTAGATAGTACTTTAGTTTGTAAGAATTTAGCAATTGATTTGATAATATCTTTGTACAGATTAGCTTCTCCGTGATAATTTTGTTGATTTACTAATCGATAATAAGATTTAATCTTTTTAATCGTATTTAAATCTTTATCGTGAATTAAACTAACTTGAAAATAAGAATCAGCATCACTAAACCCTGCAAACCAGCTATTGCTATTAAGATTACTTGTATCTAATCCTAAACATACGATTGAACTATTCTTTTTATTATTTAACCAATTAATAAGTCGATCGAGAGCCTCGATTTTCGGAGTTCTCATTTTTCCATTAATTAAGTTAGCTAATTTTAATAATCCTTCGATTTTTTGAACTTCGAATAGATAGTAATTACCTTCTTTAGGTTTTTGGATAAAACCACAACCTAATAACTTGTTGTAATTTTTGAGCCAAAGGTAAATCAGGTAATGTAAATACAATTCTAATTACAGGATGTGTATTTTTACCACTTGGGCTTTTATCTTTAGCGGGTACAATAATAGAACCATCACCTTCGATTAATCCAGCCAAGTAATAACCTAATTGACCATCCGTGGATAAACCATCGGACGAACCACCTTGGGATGAAAGAATTGTTGAATAATATTTAGTTTGAACATGTGACATGAAATTGTTTGTAATTAACTGTAAAGTTAATCTAATTGAAATAAGGTTTCTACCGAATCCTCCAATTAAAGCAGGCATAACCAAGAAAAAAATCATAACGAATGCGTGAGCAGTTACAATTACGTTGTAAAGTTGATGATCACCATGTAAATATTGAATTCCAGGACCATCTAATTCTAATCTAATTAACATAGAAAAGGCAGTACCAATCATACCCGCAAAAATAGAGAAGATGATATATAAAGTACCAATATCCTTAGCATTTGTTGAGAACAGCCATCTAACCATATTAGAAGTTGTTATAATCCTTTTTTTTGTTATTACTTTTATTTAAAGAATTCTATAAAGAAAGGGTTTAAAAGGTATGTTATATACTTACTGTGGGACTCGAACCCGCAAGCCTCTCGGCACCGAAGTTTAAATTCGGAGAGTTTACCAATTTCTCCAAGTAAGCAAAAGTTATAGTTTAGGATTAAGCCCACCATAAAAGGCGGGCTCGTAGGGGTTACCACCCACAGACCTTAGGTCCAGGTGTGGTGATAGAGACTTATTTATACCGGGAGGGAGATTTGAACTTCCAAGCTTTATGTATGAGATAAACATTTTACCATTAAATTATCCCGGCTCGGGCCGGAGCACTGCTCCGTCTTTAACTCTCCTCTTCCAGAGAAGAGAAGACCTATTTTATATTGTTTCTTTTATTTATTTAATAAACCCCCCCACCCCTCAATTTATTGAAGCTGTCTCTTATACACATCTGCTACTAAAAGAATTAAAGAAGGAGGTAATAACCAGAATGAAATATTATTTAATCGAGGGA